GGTGCAAACACCTCTGCATGGAGTGTCTGGGGACCAGACTCAATGACATCAGCCTTGGGGAGCCCGACCTTCTGGCCGCAGGAGTGCAGCGGGAACAGAACGGTAAGTGGGAGCTTCCTGCCCAGCATTTTAAAGTACCTAATTGTTGTAGAACTGTGAAACTAGAAAGGACATCAGAAATGTTTCCAACCAATTGTTTCTTAAGAGAAAGTAAACTAATCAATTTGAGTTATTAAAGGACTTTCCCACAGTGGTATAGCAACAAGAGGAAATGCTAAGGTACAACCCAGGTCTCCTGGCTTCTTGTCTGTGACATTGCCATTTATCCAAATAAATAACTAATAGGTTATCTCATTAGTACATAAGGCTTCTGAATTTGTACCATCCTACATTTTCTTCTTTGACAGTTGCTATATATTTAGGATTTATTGTAACAAATTTGGCTTATCAGGTTATCAATAGCTTTTACAGCATTTGACTAATACTACAAGAAAGAAAGTACAATAGATATAATCGCAAGGTATCACAAAATTGAGTTTTGTGTGCCTAACATTGTTTGTTTGCTACATTTAACAGGCACTTTTGATGTCTCAACAATTTATGCATGTTCTTGACTAGCACCTTTAAATAATAAAATTTGAGTAATATATTTATTATTCAGTGTGTCAATAGTAGTTGATTGTGAGCTCATTTTTGTCCACTTTTTAAATAATTATCTCCACCACCAGATGGTCTAGTAGTGTGAAAAAAGAAACCTTTTCATGTTGCTAATTTTTTTATTTTAATTTTTTATTTATTATTAGCATATTCATTCTTACAAATCAAATGTTGCTAATTTTTATGGTCAGTGCTTGGAAAGGTTGAAGGACATTGGTGAAACTTGTCACTATTTCTTAAAAAGAAATTCTGGAATTGTCTGTGGATTATAAATTAGCACAGGTCAAAGTGCACCATGATAGCACTCGGTGATTATAATCTTGTTATGACTAATAACAATGTTGTTAACCACACAAATGTTGTTAACCACACCAAACAATGCCTCCATTTGATAGTTTTTAGAAAGTCACAAAAGTGTTTCTGAAGCTCTTTTTCTAGCTTCCTTTTTGTATTGCAGTTCCTTTCCCACACTCTCAGATTTCCTTCTGTCTGATTTGTTTTCTGAGAGCTAAGCGCAGAAGGTCCATAACCACGCTGCTTAAAGTATGCTGCTGATCCACAGTTTAAGAAAAGAAGAAAAAAATTCTTACAGATAAGAATGTGTGAAGGACTACACAAAGGAAATGTGAAAAAAGAAAATAAATTTCCACCCCCCTGTGGGTGGAGACATCATGTGTGTCCTTTAATGTGGACTGGATGCTTTCACTTTAAAGATTTGAAGTTATATATGGTTTCCACTGAAATGGATAATGTGCTCTTTTGGATTAATAAATTTTATTTTTAATTTGGCAATAATGTATAAGTAATTTACCTAGAATATAAAGGAAAATTTTCAATGTGATTTTTAGAATAGGCCAAACACAGAATCAAACGCCCGAGCTACATAAAAAGTACAAGTTTTCTTTTTAAAAAATGCACAGTAAAAACAAAGAAAAAAATTCCTGTATATATTTTACAGCAGAACTGGAAAGATATCACCAGTGCCATACATGCTGCCATGCTTTTCTTAATAATCTTAATGCTATACAAAAGTATACATATGCTTTAAAAACAGATTAAACAAATCTATGAGTACAATCATCCCTTGTATCCATGAGGGACTGGTTCTTGGACCCCCACGGATACCAAAATCTGTGGATGCTCAAGTCCCTGATATAAAATGGTATATTATTTGCCTATATCCTATGCACATCCTCCTGTATATTTTAAATCATCACCTAATGCAATTTAAATGCTATGTAAGTAGTTAATATGTTGTATTTTTGTCTTATTTTTTATTGTTGCATTGTTATTTTTTTTCCAAATATTTTTGATCCATGAGTGGTTGAATCTGTGGATGAGGAAATCATAGATACGGAGGGCTGACTATAATTATTTAGCTGGAGAAGGTAGTATTTGGTTCATTTAAATGGGCCCTTAAAGGTACATAGTACCCTGTAATGAAGCTGGCAATCTTACTTGCCACTGAGAGAGAGACACACATTCACTAAGACTCTTTGATGTTTAGCATTAAGAGGAAAATTCTTGGATGGGGAGGATTTCCTTTCCCTGGGAAAGACATTCCACTTGGGGGAGGTTCTTTCTTTGACTGTCAAGGCCACAGATACAGCCATTGCTCAGGGCTCTTCAAGTCTGCCTTCTTTTTCTTTAACATGCTTCCACTTGTCCAGTTAATCCTACCTTTCCTCTTTTCCTCTTGGCCCATTTAGAGCTAGCTAAAACTTTCAAAAATTGTCATTCATACTGTAGAAGAACAATTAAAAGAATAAACATAGCCATAATATCGAGATTTCAGACTCTATTATTGGTAGCTCAGTAATTCTAGTTTATATACACAGCAGGGAGAGAACTATACACATGTGCGTGCACACACACGCAGATTGACACAATTTTCTTGCTTCCTCATCAACAGGCTTCCCCCATACAAGTGATAATTCCATTTTAGAGTATCCCTGAAATAACTTCCAGTAGGCTATAAAATCTCACAGTCAAGACTAAGCTTTCTGTTTAGCCAGCTTGGCCCCTCTCTGTCAGGCCTGAAGACTGCCTTGGCGCCAACACCTCTTCCCTAGACAGTACACCCACTTATTTTACTTAAAATGTGTAGGGAATGTATTTACTGTTTTAGCTGGCTAATTAAAGTCTTTAAAAATAACGTTGTGTGTGCTGTCCTTTCATTGACCCCTTGAAGCATAGCATCTTTTTAAAAAAAAACTAAAACATTAATTTCCTAATACATGTTTGAAGTCATTAATATGTATGGATTAAAATACGTTCCTTATGAAGTATTTGTCATTACAGAATCAGGATTTTTTTCTTAAGGCATTTTAAAATTAAAGTATATAATTTATTCTTCATTGGAAACATTACTTTATTATTTTGTCAATCATGTGCTTGCCTTTAGTTTGAACTTTTTCTTAAGACATAAGATAGATATGCATACAAAATAGCTGTGATAAATTGCATTCATGTGGCTTGTGGTGACTTTCTGGTATTCTGTCATCAAGAAAAATTGCACTTCTGGGTCATGACCACAGTATTTTTTTGACATTCAAAATTGCTACTTCTCCTCTAGTGTTTTCCTGACTCTTCAGACAACTTGATTTTATTTACTCTGAGATTAGCTAAGAATAGACACTTAAGCAAATAATTTTTAAAGGTGAAAGAAAATGTGTGTTGCTGAGATAAAAGTGGTTATTGATTAAATTCTTTGCTATACAGTAATCATTTTTATCTAGTGCAATCAGCTGCTTTCCTATCGATACAGAATCTAACACACACTTAAACACACACATACACATACTCTCAGAAATATGCACTCACACACACATACAAACTTAGACTTCAGATGACAGTGCCACAAGAAAGTGTATATTAAGTAGAAAATTCAAACTTTAAATTCTTACAATTTCCAGGCTCTTCAGGTCTTTTAGTAGTATATAAGATTGCCTACACTGCCTTGGAAAATATTAATGTATGGTGTTCTAATCATAGTTATTTATAAAGGATTCACAGCATATAATAATTCTAGAAAACAAACGTTTCATATTAATTATTAATAGTAAAAGTGAACACTGTAACCAAGAAACAACTCGTTTTTAGGAAATTCCTGCAAATGTAGCTGGGAGTGAACACAGAGAATATGACCAATTTGCCACTGATGCAAGAGATCTCCACCTGGGGAAAGAAAATGGAAAAGTAACCTCAGACTTTGCCATCCAGTAGATTCAGAGTCAGATTTGGGGATTTGGTTTTGTCCAGGTCCTAGCAGCTCTGCTTATGAGTAGACTAGAATCAACATGAATTCCTACTTTGGGCCTAAAAACATTTCTAAATATTTACCTGGGTTACCATGCTAAACATGCTCCCTACATTCAACCCAGACACACATGAATGCCATTCACTCATTCATTGTTCACCCATCAAACGTTTTTGAGGACCTATGATATGAAAGAACTAAACTGAGGAAATGTAGAATTGAACAGAATATGGTCATTACTTTCAACAAGCTAACAAAGTACTGAAGGAAACAAGACTATAAACAAGGTATGCAAATAAATGTTTTGTAAAATAATGTTGTTACCAGTCACCAAAAATTCCTCAATAGCATAGACCTGTAAGCGTGTCTTTATTGTTCATAAATAGGTGGAATGGCTGAAGGTCACCTGATTTGGGCTGAGTTCAGCTGAAATTGGCTCTAAGCTGTAGACAGTGTCTATGTGTGTTGCACATGTCTCTCCTCCTTACACTTGCAGCTTCCCTAAGCGTGTTCTCAAACAAAAAATAACAGTAATACAGTGACAGTAATAACATTAATAATAGTAACAGCAAGTTCAAATTTGTAACATAATTTAAGCCCCTGCATATTTCATCTCCACTGACATTCTACTGGCCAAAGCAAGTCCTATGGCCAAGCCTAAAGTCAAGAAGCACAGAAGTATACTACACCTTTGAGGTCATGACAGGAGTTAGAATGTGTAACCTAACATGGAGAGGGAGTGAAGAACTCAGGGAAAAAATGTACAATCTACCATCTGAGGTATAGTAAAATATACACTAAAATATCAAAAGGAAAGTACTGTGATACAGATAAGATCAACATAGCCTACCCTCTTTTTTTTAAATTACTTTTTATTCCTTCAACTAAGTTTTCTCAATCAGGCAAGTCTAGAATTCCTAATGTCCATCAATGGTTAAAGTCAATATTAACCAATATTACCTTATTCATGTGGAAAATGGCCAGTTAATGACAAAACAACGGCAGCAGTAACAATAAACCTCTCTCTCAGCAGTAGCAGTAGTAACAGTAGTATTTCCTGGAGGTCACTATGTGAAATGCTACAGCGTGTTGATGGGATTTTATAAATGCAGACATGGATATTCCTAGGTTCTTTTCCCCTTGAAAAAGTTGCTTTGCTCAGTGTCATATTATGAACAAAATAATA